GGCTGCAGCAAAACCATCACTAGGTCTAATTCACAACTTCTGCTTTAAAACTAGAATAGCTCCACCTGATTCAGCCAAGTCAAGTTGCTGTAAAAGAGATGAAGAAGCCCATAAATTCACATTTCATTATTCTACACATATAACGTAAAAATACTAAAAATTAAATGTAAGTTCCATCACCCAAAGATCCAGTAAAGACAGAAGGCAAGTTAAAAAACAGGAAAAGAGACATGACATTCATCCCTTGCGAAATAGCTGAGGTGCCTAATATGACCAGAACACACGTTGTGCTACTCGGACTTAGCAATACAGTTCTCTAGCTGTTCAAGTTAACTTGTTCCTTAGAAGATACAATAAGAATACAGAATGAATAGATGTTGCAAATAATTTAACTGATTAGTGGTGATAAGCTCTGTAGACAAACTTGATAAGCACTGACACTGATCAGTCTGTTGATTTGTTTTATTTTTCAATAGCCACTGACTCAGGAACCATAATGCTAATATAAACTTTTGTATATGCTTGGTGTAATATCAGACTCCAATAAAGCACAAGCATAAGGTGCAGGGGGAGTCAGCATCAGCAGCTAAGTCACAGGTGGAGGACAGAATGCACCTCTTTAGTGATTTATCATGTTCTCATCAGGTGTAATTGGCAGTGGAACATTGCAGCCCCAGAGAGCAGTGGTGAGGGAAATGCGGACTGGAAGTGGCAGAGACATATGAGCATGATGGAGACCCTGGAACAGCTAGGTCTGATAAAAGACAGAGCCAAACAGCCCCAGCAGAGCATTGTGTCGAAGCCACTGTTCTGCTCACAGGCCTCCTGCCAGTATACCCACAGGGTGCTGCCCTGTGTCATGTAAACATGTCTTCTGGGTATCCGTGGCACGATGCTGAATTGAGCCACACAGACAAATACAGTGTGTCATCAAAAGCTATGAACATTTTGAGGCAGCTAGGTTGCTGGTTTTCTGAAGTTCTACTGGATGCTGAGAATACTTCTGCTGCTCCTTGAGTTTAAATAAGGTAAACCTGACTATGCAAAACAAGTCAATGGCTTTGCTTGTGTCTCCCAGACTCAGATCAGAAGTGATTCTTCCTAAGTCAAGGGAAGCTTCCTTCACTGCAGCTCTCTGAGCAGTTAAACACATATGTGGCCAAACTCGGTCCTTGTAAAACCCAATTGACTTCATTCAAAAAACTCCTATAAAGATGACTGATGTCATTGGAGTCCCACCAGGGATGAATTTGGCCCGTGCCATTCCTCCTGTGTAGTCATTGGATAGGAATGTAGAGAAGAAAAGCATACTGGACTCTAGGACTCCATCTCTCAGCAAAACTGCCAGGGCTGGAAAAGAATTACACGTGAATATAAATTTGTCTTGCACACTCCATTAGATCTCCCAGATCAGCCCCTGCTTTCAACTGCCCAGGTACGAATTAGAGTTTCTCCTTTCACTACTGAGAGTTGAGCAGAAGTTTCTACATCAGTGTGCCTGGTCTTTTGGGAGCAAAATCAGCAGAATTACCCCCAATTTACAGATGAAGAAACCAGAACAGGGAGCTGAAGTGATTTGCTTCAGATCACATGTGGTGACAGAGGTAGAGAAGGTATTGAAACTTAAGTACTTATGGCTCCTCACCACTCAGGCCATGTATTCCTGTGATATATCTTTTTAATTTCCCCCTCCTTTACCCATCTCCCTTTTCCCCTGCCCCCAAACCCATCCACATTGTCTGTAGCCACACAACTGGGAAGCTGGGATTAATCCATCCCTAGGGAAACTGGGATTAATATACAACTCACACGAAACTTTTAAAAACTTAATGATTTGTGGTCCCCTTTTCAGAGGCACATGCAATCCACAGCTGAAAAGTAACTATTTGCTGTTCCAGTGCACATTCTAAGAGACGCTTTTGCTCTGTTTCATGAGTGTACACTGAAGACCCCATCTGACAGGATTTCTTCCTGCATCCAACAAAAAAATAGGCTGAGTAGGCTGTGCAGAATCAGGCTCTTGTGGAGTAGTAACAGTTTATGGGCAGAAAAAGAATGACTGGAATGCAAAAGGCAGGAAAGAGAGAGAGATGTGCCAACACATCTTTACATTTTCCTTCTGAACTGGAAACGGTTAAAAAAAAATAATTAAAAAAAATAATTAAAAAAAATAAAAATCTGTGTTTCCCTCATAAATCTTGCAGGAAGAGGCAACTAGAGTCAGGTGTCCAGTTTTTGACTCTTGCAAGTTCCCATTCAGTAATGTTTTTATGATGAAAATGCAAAATTTAAAGCAACTGTGAAAACAGAATCGGCTCTCAGTTGGCAGACAGAGGCCTAAGTAAGTTTTATTCACTGCACAAATGTCAGATTAAAACACATGCAAAGATAGAAAAGAACAAAAAAAAAAAAGAAAGGGAAGGTAATTAATCATTTAAATTATTTGTGATCCTGATTCAAAAGGCACATTTCCCATCTAATTCCTTTCATTTATTTTGGGGGTTAGTACAACTTATCTCTTTTGACTGTCATGATTTCATCTCTACTTTGCTTTCCTTGGAATCCCTGGATTGATACTGCCTAGCAAATTTCAAAACAGTGGAGGGAACAGGCGAACTGTTCCCCAGTGCAGTTGAGAGCGTGACCAGATAGATAGCCTTTGTTTGCACCAGAGCGAAAGTGGCCTTCTGGGAGGAGGAAATACACACACGTATTAGTGTAGTACAAATGACACTAAGAGGTTGTGTGTGCATCCTGTGCTCCGTGTGCCCACGTAGTTTTAATACATCTGTATTTCCAATTATGTAAATTCTGTTTTTTTTTTCTTTTTAACTGCACATAAAAATGCAGGTCCAAAGAAATTCTTGGCAGTCAGATCACCAGGTTTCAGCCTTACAAATAAAATGCTTCTCATGTCCAGCTGGGAAAAGTGGTTTGTCCACCCTCGCGACCTCGCAGTTATAAAGGTTCCCAGGAACCAGTAACTGACACGGTTTCTTACCTCGCCACGGGTGTTTCAGTATTCCGATGTTAAGGAGACGGTGGAGCGACCGTGGGAAAGCCTCGGTGGAGTGACTCTCCCGGAGTCCCTTCCTCCCTCCCCGTGGACCCGACTCGGATTTCTGCCTCGTAGTTACGACCTCTGAAAACCTACTAATTCCAAGCGACAGAGCCTTTTACTTTCTCTCTCCGCGACAGAACCTCGGAAGCATCCCTGTTCCTTTATTTGGTGTCAGGAGCGACACAAGAGGGACGAGGAAGTTCATAGAGGATATTCTCTCTGAATCTCCCTTTAGAAGTGCATCGTGGAGGATGAACCATCCAGCCCTTGGGCTGCCCGATAACGCCGTGTCAGTGATCGGGTCTGCGGGTCCCCCTCGGCGCGGGGCGGGATGCGGGATGCGGTGCCCCTGGCCCGGTAGCGGGGCACGCCGGGGGCAGCCGAGGGTCTCCCTCCCACCGCGCGGCCGGGGGCGTTCGGCGTGTTCCACGGAGGGCAAGGCGACGCCTCTAAATCCCCCAGTGGAGGAGCGGGGAGGTGAGGAGGACGACACCTTCAAATCTCCTCCGAGAAACGCTGCCGAGCAAACGCATCCCGGCCCGGGTGGGCCGCGCGGAGCTAGCGCCGCGAAGGGATGCTCCTCGTTCCAGGGGGGCTCCCTGCAGGAGGCGCCGGCGGAGCGGCGCGCAGGCCTCCGCGTCCTCCTGCGCTATTCCCGCGCTGGGCCAGGCCGGGCTACCTGCAGATTACTGCGGACTTCACCCTGCACTCCTCGCTTGTTGCTTTTCAGATGCCTTTTTTCAGATGCAAAACCAAACGCATTCTCGCGGGGTGGGAAGCAAAGCCAAAGCAAGCCGGCTTCAAACACTGCCCATACTCCCAGCCTCTCGAGCTGGATGTGGGTACAGGCAGAACCTCGTATCCCGCGCTCCCCGAGGGCCTTTCCACGTTAGAGGTGGGTCTGCAGCCCGTCCTGCAAGTGCCTCTACGTTAGTTACGATGCGCTTGAATGGGTGTCCAACAAATAAGAGGGGAGAGAGGTTTCTCCCCTCCCTCCCCTTATATTAAATGAGCTACAACTACAACTTTTTCCCCTGTCGTTGATAGGATTCTTTGACCAAATAAAGAAATAATTTCTAAAAGCGGCAAGGGGAAAAGGGGAAAAGACCCGCATTGGACAGAGATGCTAGCGGCAGAACATCCACGCCCTGGCCACACAGGAGCAGCCAGGCAGCTCCGGCGTCACCCTGGCTTCGTCGCCGCCCTAATTTGCGAATTTTGTAAAGAAGGAGGCTTTCTTATCGCGGGGAGGCACTGACTTGAGGCGGGAGGAAAAAGGTTTAGGGTTTGCCGAGGGGACGAGAAAGGACGGCAAGAGGCGCTTCAAAGGCTCAGGCGGATCCCCCAACACTGAGCACTCTTTCCCTTGTCTCGATCCAAAGAGGTTTCGCAGTGGAATAAACATCTCTGATCTAAGACAGCTGCCGGGAATCAAAGGCCGCCCCAGTCAGCGCTGAACCGGCTGAAGATGTGACTGAAAAATGCCCGCTCCTGACAAGCGCAGGGAAGGGGGTGCGAAGGCGGCTCTCCCCTCAGCGCCTCCAGACTCTGAGAGCAGCACCAGTTCACCCATTACTCATCTGATTTGTTTTATAACACTTCTGACACCTAATCTTATCAGCTAATACCCAAGATTTAGTTACCCAAGACGATTTTTTTTTCCTCACTAGGAGCAAAATTATTTGACTCTCTGCAGATCTGTTTACTTTTGTCAGCCTAAAAAAAAAAAAAAAAAGGAAAGGAAAAGAAAAGAAAATTAGGAGGGGTAAAGCTAATGCATAAAGAAAAAATCTAGACTTTCCAAGACTGGTAGAAACAAGTACTGAAACTTAACTAAAAAAAAAAAAATTAAAAAAGAAATAGGTTCTTAGTATTGAAGGAGAGGGTTTGCCACAGAAGAGACCAGAAACCAAATGAACACATATGTAGTCCATGAAGATTTGCCTGTAAAATAACAATTTATTTTAATACTTAAAAACCACACACAATCCAGTGATAAATGTCAATTACCAATAATCAGCATAAAGTGCCAAACAGCCATACAACTTTTTTTTTTTCTTTAATAAACAAAACTTATTGGAATGTCTCTTAATTTGAATACACTGTTCAGAAAGCCAGCATTTAAAAAAATATGCTCTCAAGTTGAGATTTGTTCTCTCACACCAGGACACACGAAGACTTTAAAGTACCACTAAAACCACGTTGTGCATACCGTCAGTCTGATGTACTGCCATCTTTCTTTCTTTCTTCTGTTTTTTTTTAAATAAGTCCACAAGTTACAAACTTCCTCACAGCGCACTAGACCACAAAGTAATTGAAAAGGTCTCCATATCCCATCAACATTGATCTGTCACAAACACCAGGGACCTGTGGGTCTGCATTTTCTACTGCACGATAGGATTCCCCACTTGAGAGAATTAGGTCATTTCCAAACATTAATCTTCCTTCTCCTTTTCTGAAAACAAACCAGCAAAAGAGATTTGCAAGTTGCCCTTCTCCTTGTCCTAATGGTGCTGTGACGAGAAACCACCATTTCAGTTCTTAATTTTCTTCTGGAATTCTCTGTATTTCCTGAAGTGTAAAAATAAGAAGCTTTATACAGTCAAAAAAAAGTATAAAATAAGAGGTTGGATTTTTTTAAGTAATACCTTTGGAAGCTATGATTTTGGGTTTTTTTGGGGGGAGAGGGATTGGGAAGAGGTGTCTTGTGGGGTTTTGTTTGGCTTGAGAGAGATTCCTGTCCAACACATGAGCACCACCTTTTGGCATAAAGTTTATCAAAGCCACATAAGTCAGCTAGCACTCTCTGTATCATTCATGTATATTTTAAATTCAAAATAATCTTTTTACCCACGACTTAGGAAGTTAATTGCTTGGATGGGGGATTACAGGGGTGCGGATTTTGCCCTTTTTAAAGTACAAACAACAACAAAGCACAAAGTCCAGTGCTCCCATCCTGAAAGTTTTGTTTCTGCTCTGGTTTTGGTGTAAAGTCTGAAGGGGAAGAGAAGTTCATAGAAGTTGGATATTCAACACTTAAGTTTGGCAGGTTTCAGTTCCTTTACTTGCGTGTGCAGTGTCTTGTGGACCGCTAGTGTTCTGGACTGGCAAAATCCTTTCCCACATTCTTGACACTTAAAAGGCTTTTCTTTAGAATGGATATATCTAGAGAGAGAAAAACAATTGAGACATCAGAAATAGCCAGCCATACTCAACAATGAGTTACCTAAGGAAGAACATGCTGGAGATGTTTTACACCTACTGCTGAGACAGAGAGTGCTGGCATGCTGCGCTTGGGTAATTGTCTATCTGTGTGTATGCAAGAGGAGAGGAGGGTGTCAGAGGCTTATAGGGTACCTTTCTTAGGGATAAAGAGTTTCTCTCTTACTTTGGGATCCTCAGGCTGTGTGTCTTCCTGACACTTCTGGATGAACCCAAAGGCAGAGGACACAAGACGCAAATGGAGCATGAAAACCTCTGTGGAAGCTAAGAAGGAGGCTGTGAGAGTTGTTTTTGTGGAGTGAGTGAGGTATGTCTTCCAAAGTGAGTTACCAAAGCTCCTCCACCAGCAGTGGGCAGAGGAAAACTTAGAGGGAACACTGTAGTATGTAGACGGGTAACTGGGAGAGTACAAACACACAAGGAAAAAGGGAAAGGAGAAATAAAATAGTTACCTGTGATCCCTCAGGTGATCCTGTCTTCGGAAGGCCTTGTGACAAATGTCACATGTGTAGGGCCGTTCATCTGTGTGGGTTCTTTCATGGATCAAAAGGTTGTAGGACTTGGTGAAGTGCCTGCCGCAGAATTTACACACAAACTCCTTCTTGGTTTTGGACGGTAACCTTCCCCGCGTGGGTTTCTTCTCTGGAGAGAGTTTAGTCACCTCAAGCAAAGACCCCAGCCCTGCAGGTGAGCCCTGACTGTCTGCCTGTCCCAGTTTAGAGTGGTCCTCTTGTGTGGCAGCCACTGCTAAGTTGGCAAAGTCAAAGCGGGGTTTGGCTTTGAGGGTCACATTGGTAGCCTCTTGCTTGGGCTGGATGACATGTGGAAAGAGTGGGAAGGTTGGCAGCTGGAATCGTGCATCCACCAGGCTCGAGACGCTGGGCACTTTGGAGAAGGAGGAACGGGGCAGGTGCATGGCTGGGTACCCCAGAGTCCACTGGTGCAGGTGCACAGCGTGCAGGGCACTGAAGCCGTAGAGGTTGGAGAGGTGGTCGGAGGGCACAGCGGGCAGCCCATTGAATGCTTGCAGGAAGGAGTAGTTGGTAAGCTGGAGGGAAGGATGGATAGGCACGGGGGCTGGCAGAGTTTTACTTCCCATGGTGGCCGCTCAGGAGGAGGATCTTGGGAACAGGGGAGGAAAATATCTGCAAAATAAAGAAGGAGGGGGGAAGAGGGAAAGGTAGATTTATATGAAGACAAATGCAGAGGAAATTTCTGACTTACCCTTCATTAACATCCTTTTCCAAAGTCACAGGAGGGGGATGCCTGGGACTTACAGAGGCCTGACCAGCTCTTGGCTACAAGCGTATCCCCAAGTTCTCTCTGTTCCAATATCTCTCTCGTGCAAAAAAGTTGTACTCCATCCACAATCATTCACCCCTCAACAGCATCCCTTGCTATGCAGACTCCAATGATCCTCTGCATGGGACCACCAAGAGATGCCATTTTGGCCCACAAAGCCTGGGCTTCTCCCATGTAATTTAAAATCTCTTCCTAGGTCACCTCAGCCTTTAGAAAATAGTGGGATACTTCCCACTATGTCTCTCCACAAAAACTGCCTTTAACCCTGGCTCTTGAGGTGATGTTGGGAGGGGGTGCAGAGTTTGCTGCCCCTGGGTTGTTTGGCTCCTTGCAATCTGGCCTCAGCCAAGCCTCTGAGGCGATGGAGGCAATTGGGTGCTTGGAACTGCATATCCTTCTTCATTCAAAAAAAGAAAATAATTTTAGGGAAAAAAACATTATGGGGAAAATACCAGCCAACAACATTCCCTCTTGTGTACTGCAAAAAGAAATGGGAAAATGCTGAGTTTGGGTGATGAACCTGAAGTGCCATTTGCTCTCCCCAGGGGGAAGTGCTTGGCTTCAAGCCCACATCCTAATCTAGTCAATCGGTTAATTAGAAGCCTTCAAAAGGCAAAAAGGCAAGGGCTCCAGAGACCCTTCCCATGAGACATCCAGCCCAGCAGCTACAGGGCCACAGCCCTTTCACTGGGCTGGGTGCCACTCCTTTACTCTGTGTTTCAGGGTCTTGCCAAGACCCCAGCCTCTCCTCTGGGCCAGATCTCTACCCGTTCCACCCCATAAGGCAGAGGGGAAAATGCTACAAGGCAGCAGCAGCGAGTCATATCTGGCCCTGCCTGAAAATTCAGCCCCTGCTGCTGTCAACTGTTTGGTAGTAGATGCCTCCTGAGGGTTATTGGTGGGGATGCAGCTTCCTCTCTTTGAGGCTGAGAGAGAGCACCCATGACTTTTGGAGACATTCCTTCTCTGCAGCCCAGGGAGCCTCCTCCTCACTCCACAGCCCACAGGTTATACTCACTTTGTGCCCTGAGGAACTCTGGAATTTGCTTCAATGGGACTGTTTTCTGGCAGAATCCCCATGAAGTCCCCACAGGATGCTCACAAGATCCTCACAGGTTTGCTGCAGGATTTCTGCAGGATCCACATAGGGTCTTCGTAAGATCCCTATAGGCTTCCTGCTGAGTCACCGTAGGTTCCCCACAAGATCCTGTCGGAGTCCACACAGTACTCAGACTAGAGTTCATGCCCATGTGAAGAGTAATACCCCTTTGGAGAAATGGAGCCAGCAAAGTACTGCAGAGCAGCAATTGTCCCTCTAGGCTGGAAGTGGGGGAGTGGAGGGTGGAAAGCGGTAGTGGAAGAGGTCTAAAGACCAGGGAAACAAATCTGATTTATATGTAGGCTTTTGCCTGGACAGAGGAGCTGGGGCTGGGAGGGTGTGAGACGAGAAGCTTACTCTGAACAGCTCTGTACTCTGGGTCCACCTTTCACACTGCTTTACATAAATCAGCAGCAGGAAGAGAGGTTCAAACCTTAGAGGAATTCCATTGTAATGACCCAGAATAAGAGATTTTGTCATTTTTCCTTTTTCAATTGGATGCATTTTGGATAGTGACTGATTGAAAAATGCATACATTATATTGTCAATTCTCCTCCTTTTCCTCTTTCTTTTTCCTTTTTTTTTTTTTTTAATAAACGATTTAAGTCTGATGAACCAACCAGACTGTTTTGTTTTTCTACAGGAGATATACTTCTACTTAGTTAGTGCTGCCTATGTGCTAAGTGTGTCCACATCACAGCACAATGCCTCAATCAATGACCCCAAGAACAAAGTGCACAGAAAACTCTCTTGTCTGGGTACCTGAAAATGTCTGTTTCTGTCCATCACAGCGGCTCCGTGTCTATTTTCCTATCTAGGTAGCTCTAGATCTCAAGCATGAAACAGGCTATTGCGAATGAAGTAAAGTTCTGGGTTTATACTTCTTTCTTTCTTCATATCCTTAGAAATTATTTAGTATAGGATATATAAGCATATAAGCAAAAAATCTGCTATGTCAATGTGGGCAAATTCTTGATCAATAACATTTAAAAAATTCTCTTTCAATCAATTCCCCAAACGAAGAGTGGGGCACAAATCAAGGAGAAATACAATTGGGTCATAATAACATCCATTGCACTCACGGAATTTTTTTGTTTGCTGCCTTTTTTTTGTTGTTTTTTTGCTAGAGAAGTTCTGTTAAATCAAGGGGGGAAAAAAAGATGAAAAAGAAAAAGAAAGAGAACAAGGCAAAAAAATAAAAAAGAGAGAAGAAAAGAAAAAGGAAAGGACGAGGTGGGAGCAGAATTTTCACGTTACTACAAGTTTCTTGGCACTTTTCCAGAAATGTAAAGTACACTTTTGCGCTGTACGACCGGGATAGTCAAAAATACAGATGAAGAGCAGGGTATTTTATAAAGAAGCCCCCTCACTCCGGGACATCAAAGCAAACGTGTTTCACAGCACAGTAACTCTCTGGTCTCCCGCTTGCCCGCAGAGAGATCAATGTTTCTTTGATTTCGGTGTCACCTCCACCTTTAATTCTGCTTCATGTAAACAGATCGTTATCAGGTCTTTTTTTTTAAAAAAAAAAGCAGAAGAAGACCCCGAGAGCTCTCTATTTGAATTCTCCTATAGCAAAAAACCGTGCGGGTTTTTCTTTTTTAACACAGAGTAGCTCGGTGAGTAATTAAGAACAAATCACTTGTGTTCTGACTGAAACAAAACCCACTCATGCCAAGATAAATTTACTCTGCAAAATAGGATCATAAACTTGAAAGACTACATCTGTCTCCAGCTTTCTTACCCTTTGTCCTGTTTGAAGATACGGTAATGCTATTGTCCAGTTGCCATTGTTTTAAGACCGTTGTAATCTTAACCTTCTAGATTAAATTCTACCTACTCTATATGCCTAAAAAAAAAAAAAAAAATGAAAAAAAATCAACGCAGCTTTCCTTTGGTAGCATAGCAAGAGGCGAAATTAAATGGATTTTTAAGTAATCTTGTGGGTAGTCGGTATTTTTCCTTTTTACATTGAATTATCAATTTCCGATGTGTCCTTTGAAAGGGATATTTGTTACATTAAATACCTGACTCATAAATAATGAGGTTTTCTAATTAGTTCCACATGGAAGAATGGAGGAGGTAAATTACCCTGAAAACTCTGCTTATTTTTACAAACATGACAAAGTAGCAGACATAAAATGATGCATTCTTGCGAGAGCCTCAAACTACAGCAATCAGGTTCATCTGTCAAAAAAGTCCCCCAGTTTTGCCTGAATCTTTTGAAGTCTGGTGCAGCATTTTGCCACTAGGTCGGCTATTTATTTTGTCCCCTTTGAGGGAAGGAAACTTTCCCTTCCTAAAGTTAGAGCGAGGAAATAGAGCTTACAATTTATCTCTGTTTGGGAAACTAATTGGAAAGGGAATAAAACTGCCCTTTCGCTCAGCATTATTCGAGCGTGGTGCTCTTGAGGAATAAAGTGCATTGTTCGGTACCGATTTATTCAAAGTATTAATGAAGTGTGCAAAATCTATTAAAGCAGGTTTATTCGGGGCTAATTGAGCGTGAAAGAGTTAATTGCTAACATTAATGAGGACTGGAAGGATTCAGTCAGCATGTGCCTTGGATATCTCCACTCAATCCTTATAAAATCATCATTCACATTTTATCACGAAATCGGTGTTGACAAGTCCCCCCAGACCACCATTGCGAGCGCGGGTGAATGCGGTGGATTTTAGTCTCGCAAATAATAATTATAATTAATAACCGGGATCCGACTGCACCAGCGATCGCTACACTGCCCGGGGCAGCCTTTATCCAAAACAACAGCAAAAATCCCCGGGTCCAGCCCCTGGAGGGACAGCGGGTTACGAGGCCACGGGCCGCAGGGGCCACGTTCCTCCACCTTCTCCCTGCACAAGTTTTTCGGTAGGTTTGGGGATATTGGATATGTGTCTTTGTAACCCCCCTCGGATGTAGAAAGGTCCCTAGCACAGGATTCACCCTCGCTTTCTCCCTAGAGAAACGTCCAGTGGAGGCACAGAGAAACGTCCCGTGCGCAAGAGTAAATCGTCCTCCCTCTCTCTCTCCCGGCGACAGGGAGGATTTCTCCTCTCTGTACTCCTCGCTTCCCACGGTCACATCACGCACGGCTGCGGGTGGGGGTCAAACCTTTGCGGTGACAGCCCCGGGGACAGGCAGCGTACGGCGGCGCATCCGCGGGCCCGGCCGCCGGCAGCCGGGCTCCGCAGCGGAGCTGCCGCAGCCCTGGGGCCCCGAGCCCGACGCTGGCTCAGGAGTCTGTTTCTCAGCTGACCTCGGACTTACTGAACTGGACCGACTGTGCACCTGTCTGAGACTCGGCCCTCATAGTCCTGCCCGGCTCGCGATTTATCGAACAATTCCCGCGACGCTACGATAATCTCAAAAATGCAAGACTTTTATAGGTTCCCTCCCAAAAGCCAACTATAACAACCATACCCTAATCCTCGGCTTTGCACTGACACTTTATAGTCTCGGCCTCGAGAGAACCTTAGTCTCTCCCTGCGCTGAACTTGTTTCGATCCATTCAGACAAATATAAACATCAGGTTCATTTCTGTTATGGCCTTGAGAGGAAACTGAGAAAGCTTTTGGGATCCTAAAACACTGAAAATGGAGTTGTAAGAGAAAAGGGAAAAAAAAAAAAAAAGAAAAAGAAAAAAGAAGGAACGTCTCATAAATAAAGAAGGAAGAGAAAGAAAAGGAAAGAAAAACCGATAATAGAAAGGAGAAAAGCTGGAAGTTCAAGTCCGTAAAGGACGTGCAAGCTTCTGTTTTGCAGCTCGTATGTCATTTTTAGCTCGGGTTAAAAACACAGCTCCTCCGCAAGGGGGGAGAAACAACTATGAAAGGGGAGGACAAATCTTTAAATAGCATCAAAATATCCGAGATCCATGTGAATGCTTACCCCAGCCCTCCACCCACCCCAAGGAGAACAGTCCTCCTCACGTGAACCACAATTTCCACGCTTCTGCACCATCCAGGAGATGGTGGGAGCGGATGGGGGCAAAGAAATAAAGGAGGTAAAGGAAGTGTTTGGATCGATATCCCCAACCCCCGAGTCCTGGCAAAACAAAAAACCAAACAGAATGAGTTGTTCTTTTTATTTACCTATTCCCGATCTGTGCTCCACCGCTGGCAGCAGTTAAAAGATCCTGGGCTAAATTGGAGCTGGTAAAATAAAATAATGGGGAAAAAAATAGGGGAAAAAAAAAAAAAAGTTGGGCTAGGTCAGTGTCTGCCCTGGCCCTGCGGGGCACAGCTCTCCCCACCCACCCCACTGCTCCTCCGACGGGTACGGACAGATCCGAGCGGAGCCAGGTGTCCAGGTGCTCCGGCCGGCGGAG